GTTTTCAAGTATCCGAGTCAATACCTGATGCTCGACTGTCTGTACTCAAGTAGGAGGTCATGGAAGTCCTGCGGGTGATCTGCATCTTCAAGAGTAAAGAGCTCGAGTCCTCTTGCACCTCACAGTGAATGCAACATCAGTGTAACCAATATTAAGCTAAAAGCATGGCCCAACTAACTCACTCGTGCAGACATGCACACCAATCATAACCAGTAGATTCCTCAAGCCTAGATAGGTGACAGGTGAGTCTGTGCTTACATCCACTTCAGCACTCGCCACCCGCAGTCAGACCATGTAGAAGGAAGTTGGTTGTTCCTTATATATTCCTCAACACCATAAGCATTGCCAATCCACAAATGAAGCCTGTATATGGCGGTCCCGGTTGACTATGCACAGAATTTACATATAACAGGTGTTTATGAATGTTGATGGGAAGAAGAAACGCAGTGGCAGCCTGCAGCAGCGTCGTAAGAGAGGGTAAGAGCTATCAGGAATCTCAGATAAGCTATATCAGTTGGGTAATAATTGGTTATGGGCAGAATATAACTCTACTTACAAGTCACGACACAAGAGATCGACGACATATCCAAGAAGTGCTCCTCGTGAACTTCAAATCCTACTGATCATCTATCTCCCTATCTAGTAGGTCAGCATGACATGTTGACAAGTATGCTGAGGGAGCAAGAACAATGTATCTTGATGTGAGAGGGTTCACGACACCGGAGCAGACAACACAACCAACTCGGATGCCAACGATATCAGGGTACACCAGGATGGTATTGGCAGTCGTGTTTTTCAAAGACAAGTCGATAGGTTGTCACTGGTTCGGACCACATTGCACGCATTTTGGACTTAGAGAAAGGAGCATTGTTAGGAAGGCCATTCAGGGTCATGGCTCCAGTCGCTGTATCACCAGATAACAGTCGAGTCGCAAGCAGCGGAAAGTATTCTGTCCACTACAGCCACTGATGGAAGCAGCAAAATGAGATCCACGTGGTATCAATGTGGTATGGGCCAACAATATATAAAGAGCCTATATGAATGGGGTTATGGACAGTCCAGCTCCACTCAAGATCGATGACGACAGCAGAGTACGCTCCTCGTCAACTTCCAACACTACTGATCGTCCATCTTCCTGTCTAGCGACATGTCAGGATTGCTCAATGTAGCAAAAAAAAGCATATCTTACTGCAAGAAGGTGCTCGAAGCCGGTGTAGAGACTCATGCCTCTCATGGCGTGATATGGCAGTTTCCACTAAGGGAGTATACAGCACCAACTCGCAGCACCACTCTGTGTACTGTCCACAGCAATTCCTATATGAGGCGCAGCTTTCCCGTGCAACGCGCACCATGCGCGCACCATTCCCGCGCTTGCGCGCCCTATAGTGCCAGCCATCCAGATGCATCCATCCACTGTCCACCAAGCTCCCTAGTGCGTATATTTCCATTTCCTTTATTAGCATAGTGTTCCACCTTTATTTTTATCATGGACTCTCACCCATATATATCCTTACATACCTACTCGGTAGCACTTCGGCTCCGTATGACCGCGCTATATAAGCGCCAGCAGTACATACTATTACTGACTTACTTTTCACCTTACCTTACTTTACCTCCCATTTACCTATTACTACTTACTTACTACTTAGCAGAACATAGTAGATCTCTATTCCTTTACATCTCGCACTCACATCTCTTATCTTGCATTATATCATCACTTAAGCTCAGTCTCTATCATTTCTGCATATGCGCGCGCGCTTTCCCGTGCTTCGCGCTAATACGCGCGCATGTTCCCGTGCCTTGCACGCACCTGCGCTTCAGCGCATACCTCTAGATCTTTGCTGCACTCACTTCCCCTTTAGGGTCGAACGCACTTGTCTCCTCAAGTAACGCAGACTAGGCAACACTCGACCTACGACATTTTTAGATACAGTTAGGAGCATCTTTTGTTCCTCTCTGTATTGTTGTTTCTACACCGGCGCAGACAACTCAGCCAGCGCTAACACAAACAGTGCAAGTCCACACCATGTCAGTGACTGCAGTCATGTTCTTCAAAGATGGTCGATGGATCGTCACATCTTCAACGGATCAAACCCTGCAGATCTGGGACGTGGAGAAAAGAGCATTTGTGGGAGGACCATTCGAGGGACACAATGAGTTTGTGTTGTCAGTCGCTGTATCGCCAGACGACAGAAGAATTGCGAGCAGTGGAGGAAATGGAGCCATCATCATCTGGGACGTCAAGAATAAGCAAATGCTATTCAAACTGGTGAAACATACAGGCCAGGTGTCCTTGGTGTGCTTCTCCCCCGATGGAAAGAGACTTGCAAGCAGTTTATGGGATGGGGTAGTAATTATATGGGATGCAGAGACAGGCGCTATCCTCTCAACACTTGAGAGTTGGGACCGGGTGTGGTATGTCACCTTCAGTCTGGATGGGCTAAAGTTAGCATCTGGCGGAGCGCAAGGTGCCATTCGGGTTTGGCGCACCGATAACACCGAGCTTCTCCTTGAGATCAACACTCATTATGATCAGAATTGGCTTAAAAGTGTTGTGTGGTCGCCCAATGGCCAGCAACTTGTCTCAGTTGCATCACATAATGACGAAACGATCAGGTTTTGGGACTCCTCGAATGGAATACAAATCGGTCAACCTTGCACCGGTCACACTTCCCACATCACATCACTTACTATTTCTTCTGATGGCCTTTTCATTGCCACTACCTCGTTTGATAAGACTATGCGCCTGTGGAGCATGCAGTCACACCAGCAGATAGGACAAGCACTTGAACATACCACACGGGTTTCCTGCATTGCAATTTCTTCCAGTGGAGAACTGCTCGCAAGTGGAGACAATTGTGGAAATGTTCATCTCTGGTCGATTGAGAATGCACTTTCCGCAGCATTAGGGACGAATTCCTCATACCTTGTGCATCACAGCCAGGTGAAGTTGAGACAAAGGCTCTATGCGGAGGCCCTTGCGGATGCAGAAAAGGTGCGGACAATATCTATCGTTGTTTCAATAGTTGTAATGATGTTCATAGGTCATTGAGCTCCACCCTTCATCTTATCTTGGGTACGAATTGAAGTACGCAGTGCTTCATGGTGCACAGCACTATGATGATGCATTTAAGGCTTTCACAATCATGTTCTCCAAGTTGCATGACACATCTGACCCACAGATACAACGTGAGCCCCAACAACTCAAGCGCTGACTTGAAAATGACTTACATTTTTTGCAGAACTATGCCAGCAATATGTCAATCCATCTGAAGTAGATGATGCTGTTCTACAAGCTATTCAAGCCCAACTGGGAAATGCTCCACTCCATCTAATCGACACCTCTACTGGGTGTTTGTGCAATTGAGATGCGCAGATCAACGCATTCATGGAGAGCACAGAGTACAACGAGCTTTTTCATCTATTGGGCATACATGCCCCCCTCCAAATGGAGCCCATCAAAGTAGCAGTTGCAAAGTACTTCAGTTGGGTTATGTTGTCCCATAGGTGGAAAAGGAAGGAGCCGTTGCTGCACGACATTCAGGACAAGGTCATATATGAATTGGATCCGGTAGGAACCATGATGAAGTTGCAGAAGTTCTGCAAAGTTGCTCGCAATGCGGGACATCATTGGGCATGGAGCGACACATGCTGCATTGACCAGAACAATAACATTGAAGTTCAGCAATCGGTCAACTCCATGTTCATTTGGTATCACCACTCAGCGCTCACTATTGTCTACCTATCGGATGTTCCTCCTTCGTCAGAGTCTGGTGTGCTCGCAAACAGCACATGGAATACACGAGGATGGACTGTTCAGGAGTTCCTTGCTCCTAAAATTGTTCTCTTCTACCAAGCAGATTGGACCCTATATCTCAGTGACCGCTCATGCAATCACAAGCAGTCTGTCTGTATCATGAGGGAGTTAGAGAGTTCAACCGGCATAAATGTGCAGGCACTCATTGACTTTCGTCCAGGGACGAGAGATGCCCGAGAGAAACTCTGATGGGCGTCAACGCGTGTCACCACATTGCAGGAAGACATTGTGTATTCATTGTTTAGGATATTCAGCATCCACCTTCCTGTAATCTATGGAGAGAAAAGACAGAACGCACTTGGATGTCTCTTACAGGAAATCATAGCCCATTTGTGCAATATCACAGCCTTGGACTGGGTGGGACAATCGTCCAACTTCAACAGTTGCCTGCCAGCCGACATTTCCTCATACAAGGCTCTGTCCTGTACACTACCAGCTTTATCCGAAGACGAGATGCAGATGTCAGTCTCCACACTGCGAAACAATATTGTGGCTGTGAGGTCGGCTTCAAAATTCTATACCCTCCTTGAGAATCTCAGTGTTCCTCATTTTGCTAATGCCAGACTGCAATTGCCTTGCATTGCATTTCCTCTTACCAAAGTCAGGCAGAGTACTGGTGAAGACGTGGACAAATGTTTCACATATGAAGTCAAGGCAGATGGGCTCAAAGACCTGCTGGTCACAACAGAAGACAGGCTTGTTCAATTCTTGCCTGCAAGGCATACATGGCAGACATTCCTGCTCATCCATCCGTGGAATCGGTATGATCTCGGGCTGATTAACTTTACAGACGAGACCCAGAGCATAGAAGATTGGCTGGAGCCCAAGTCTCCTGGCAACAATGAGCCAATTATGCGAGAGTTGAGGCTGATCGCTCGCCTCGGACAGCCCTTTGGCTGCACTTTTGCTAGCGCAGCAGTGGGGTGGGGAGTATAAGAGAATAGCTTCGGATAACAATATCAATGCGCAAGTTAGGGACATGACTTCTGTTGATGACATGATGGACATCAGAATGTTGGAGATATTGTAGCTGCTGAGAATATGGATCTCCGACACATTTTGTCTATACCTTGACAGCACCATGACAAGATTCTGGATGCCTTCAAGGCCATCCACAGAGAAACCAAGGATCTTGTTGAGTATCGGCCCCACTTGAGTATTATCATCTGTGGCAAATGGCACCATGCTCGCTTCAGGCCGAAAGACCAGAAGAATCAGAGCCGAAACGGAAACACACTGTCCTGGAACAGTCGTCGATAGACGCATCACTACCGTGTAAGTCTTCATAGACCTGTGAAATGGAAGTCAGCTCATATTCTTGTTTCTACCAGTTATGATTTCGACTTTTATCTGCAAGCTCATGATGAGATCAAGGGCCACGTGCGACCTACTCACTACACAATTATCTACGACAAGTGTGGTTTTAGTGCTGATGTTATACAGCAGGGGCACACACACCACGAGTTACTTATATGCCTGCTGCCACCAAGGCAGTGGGCCTTGTACCCCTCACGCATTATACTGACCTGGCATGCAAGCGGGTGTGGTATTACCTCGATGGATTCCTAAACTCAGAGCAGCTTTCTGTGCCTGGCTCCTCGAGTCGGAAAGGCGAAGGTAAGGGTAAGGGTAAAGGAAAGGCATGGCGGCAGACGAAAGGGAGGCAGGCCGAGCAACGTATCTATGATGCTGCTCTTCAAGCATGGGGTAAAGGCGTCCATCCCAATTTGAAGGAGACGACATTTTATATCTGAAGAGATAGCATGGACAATCTGTATCTGTATGGTGTTGTGGAACGTGCTTCTTTGTAACATGTTTGATCTTCAGGATCGTGAGATTATTTCGAAACAATTCCTGTTGAAACAAAGTGTCAGCAACATTACTAAATTTCGCTGTTCACCTCACACTACATAGATGGATTCGATGACTACCGAAATAATCGATGACCTCTTTCGTCCACCTACATATATATACACACAATGTTATTTTGGTTACAAAAGTCCGGTCTGCATCAGCACTCTTCATCACAGATCCGTCGAGGTTCAGATTCCTCACAGGAGAGTGACATTGCCTGGCTCGCATCACATTCTCTTTCAATCCAGCACGTTCAAGCTGGACCGTAAATCACAGTTTCCCTTCTGACCTGCTTATGCGACCACGTTTAACGGATGAGTCAAAGACTCACGCTCGCACATTTCGCACTAAGCCGTTTGAAGGGATCCTCCCGTTTCTTCTATTCCCCCGTCTGATAATAAGCTTATATCATCACTCACTTTGTGTCCTGAGCACCATCACTCAAAGATCCCGCAACTAAGCCGTTTGAAAAGAAGTCAACAGCATCGTTGATGCCGGAGACACGAGTAAGTGCAAGTGAAACTCTTGGACGACCGTGACACAGTTTGGGCGAGGCCTAGTGGTTGATTATGAAACAGCGATAAGTAGTCCTGGTGGGATCGTTCGCTTCCATTTCTTCTATTCCCCCGTCTGATAATGAACTTATATCGTCACTCACTTTGTGTCCTGAGCACCATCACTCAAAGATCCCGCAAGTACGAGAGGAATGAACATCAATCAGCCAAGCGATCTCATTCTAAGCACAAGCATGATATCGAGATAGGATGTCCGGGTACTTGCTGGAACGACGAATTCTGATTCCAAAAGAATGAGTTTTTCCAGCGAATCATGTTCAAAACATACAAGTTAAATTGAATTTTTACGCAACTCCTTCGCCTTCTGTTCTCCTGGTAGATACCTCCAGGAATTTGGAAGGGGGATCTGCCTCCATGTCGCTCGATTCAACAAAGATTTCCCCTTCACTGGCTCCTCTCCTCCATTGAACACGACTGAGTTCTGCGTGGTTGAGCAACCATGCCGGATCGACATGATATGTTACGGTGAATGACTTGATGCTTAGCATTGCGCGACAGACGGAGACGGTTGTAGTTGATATTGCTATTCTGGGAGATAGATTTGTCTCGTGAGCTTCCGTGAATACCATCTCGTTTAGTAAAACTTGCCCTCCTATCAAAGATGGATAATATATCTAACAATTTTGAGTGGTGATTTGTTATACAGCTAAGGCCATAAAACTTACAGATATGTCCTTTGGTTCAGTCATAGAAAGACAGATAATTTCGTACAGTAGCGATCCTATGATTTAGTTTCAGGTTCTGCTGGGGAACAATCAACATATACTCACCGGCCGCAAAGGTATACATAAATATCCCTCTAAGAAAACCGTCAGCTTTGTGGTAGAAACTGCAACTGATAATTGGGCCTACTCTTTGACGAATCGGTGCATAATGCCACGTTGTTGCAATGATTTTGGGCTGATGCGAAAGCGATACATCGTCAGTAAGAGCATGACCGTATGGATGACCAGGGCTGGCAGGTAGACAGTCGACATAGATAGAGGGCCCTGCGTGAAGATCTCAGCGATCGACGATGCACACAGGGCTCTCTTCATGGCATCAAACTCGACGCTGGTAACTATGACAGCTCCTACCGCGCAAATGATGAAAACAGTGACCGCTAGCCATCTAATGAAGCAACTATGGAGGAACAGATGCCACACTCGTAATGTCACAACAGCTGCGCACTCCAGTCAATTCATTTGGATCGACGGATACGCCAAATACGAACCTTGACAAAATACAGCGACCGTCAATGTAAGAAAGTAATCCGCAATGATGGACAGGTTTCCTCTTTTTCAAAGTGAGCTGGTCTGCAAGGCTTTCGCAATGTACAATAGCTCACTCCTGGAAAGCTACAAGTAAGACACCAGACAATGATACAACCAACTTGAGAAGTCTCACCACAGAGGTGCAAATTTTGACCTGTCCTGTTAGTCCTATATGTCAAGTATTCACCGAAACCGTGACAAGGACATGATGTTTACTAGAACAGACCATAAAGAGAAAAACTAGCCAATGATGTTAACTAATGCGGTTTTGATTGCATGGAGTCAAAACGCACCAAGCCCGTATCAGAGCCAAGTATCGGATCTGTCAAACTAAAGATTACTAATCGAAGGCAATAGAGATAATTGATGGCATTACGCTGAGATATAGCGTTCGTGCCGCTGACCATGAACCAGACCAGAAGTAAGTTATCTAGAACAGACGACCGCAGTGATTCAGTGTTATATAAACATCGATTGTGAAAGCGAACATACCTCTTGATCTAACGTGATAGCATGGTCGTACACTACAAGGACGAAGGATACCAGAATTATTTCCGTAGAGGCAACATATACCGACTGTATGGACATGGTGAATCACAGACGGGCGCGCTGACGCCCAGAACTGAAAGTACACTTTGATGACTTGTCGCATCAAGGAAGACAGACTATTATATGCCCTCAGGCTGTGATGCGTGATCAACAGGAGGCGAAGCCCATCATTATGACCTGTCATCTCATACTACATATATGTTTAGCCCTGTTCAAAAAGGAAAGAAAAGGGATAACGTAATATCTTGCATCAAAGTTTATTCGAAGTGTGCTGTTCTTTGTTGGCAAGCGGCTTCTGGTCATCACCATGACTATGTGGATGTTCATCAACTGAAACAAAGCACACGAAAAATATTTCTCTGAAACATCAACGGTAGCTATCCATGTATCAAAAAAAAAAAGACACTCATGGAGTAATTAGACTCTCGCTTTGCTAAGATGTCATCCCCGAGCTACTCCTCTCGATACATCGTTGATAGAGCCATTACAAGAAACCATTCCATTGATATGTCGCATTCTTCTGTCAGCTATGCAGGCAGTGCGAGCTGAGAAAAGAAAAAACATCAGCAATGAGCATGTCGAGACCGTAAGTATATGATCGTAACTCCAGCACGACCGGCATCTTTCAATTTCAAACTCCTCGCTCCGCCCCGCCACGCCACTCCGAGTCTGAGATCGACCAGCCTGGCTACACCACTTGAGGCATCCGTGGTAGTATACTGGTCACGAGCCCAAGGTACTACACAGTCCAGTCAGCAGCGTCCCGTCACACCTACCACCATGCCGTGTCAGTGCCACGTACCCTGCGCGTCAGAACTTGGCACTCTAAAGTTTAGTCTAACTTAGTTATGCTTTCATTCTCGTCTAATAGCGTCTCCTTTCGTTCTAACAGAATTAGATCGTCGTACACTGTAGTCGTCCATACTGGGCATACGTACTGATGAACTCCATTAGCTCCATTCTGAGACTTGGGTTGCAACTGGATATCATCCGCATTGGCGGCGGTGGCAGCGCCCTTAGTAACCGCAGCCAGTGGGTGTCGGGGACCTCCGAGTCATCCCTACTATGACCGCTCAGGTGCGCCGCTTGACTGACATCTTTGAGAACTAGAACAGATTAATATAGCCAATCTTCCGGCCTCTGCAGACTACTCGGCCTTCACATATGCGACGGCTCTTGTCACACATTGAATTGGCGTCACTTGTGCACTCTGCCTCAAATTTAAATACCAGCTGAAGAAGAAATTGCGCCCATGAAGCGCCGCACTTGCACTGGCGCATCACGACAGTGACACAATAGCTACCAGTACTCCCTGACAGACTGTTATATCACCATCATATAGGTTTGTTGCACTTACCATGTGGTCCCTACTCCAAACAACGAGCTGAACTTAGAGCTTATCAGCCTTTATTGCGAGTTAGCTTCGCAAGGAGATATCTTGCTCCACACCGGATTTTCGCCGGTCAACACTGCTTCACAAGTTAGATCTTATCAGGTGGCAATATGCATGGTCTTGACCTTGCTCCGGTAGGTGATATCTTGTTTCACGTCAAATTGCCAATAGACCTTGCTGGCCATTGGCTAGAATTACGGGCATATCAGGGATTTCAGGTGGACTGAATTCTCTTAAATGAATAACAGTATTCAGCACGTAAAGGTAAGGCGTCCTTCATATTTATCTGAACCCATACTAGCATCACATCTTCACCGAAAATGCGTCTCTCTTTTGTCCCCACCGTCGTCGCTGCTTTAATATCTGCCACTGACGCTGTCAGTGAGGGCTCAGTCTGTCCATTCCTCTGCTTACATAGTAGCCAGCGCAAAACCTACGATAATGGGCCGAATTGTGTGAGTATGAGTTGTTTGTACTTCACCAAATAACTCACCGGCGTGATAGATCCTCTTCACATGCTCCTGCTACTAGGTTATCTGTAGTGCGGGATGGTTTTCCTGATGCAGAATCCAAGGCCCGGTTCTAGAACTAGAAGCACTACCGTCATAGAAGTCTTCCGTTGGTTTCAGTATTTTCATTTAGTTTATCACGGGCAATTACAGCTTGCGTCCGAGTTATCGATCAAGATCAACTTTCAATAGCCTGAGTCAAATAGAGTGATCATGAAGAACACGACAGCGCGGTCGATCGAGTGAAAGAATCAGATGAATGTCGTACATATTCTATCCAGACTCCATATTCCAGGCTGTTGGTCCACGGGGAAGAAGTTTACTAGAAGAAGTTCTTTATTAGTATTTTACATCAGAAGGCTTCTGAGGCGAATAACATGGCAGTGCGCGTGATGAGCTGCTACTTCTTAAATTGAATTCCGAGACAAGATATCATCACTACTTCACCACTTACTATGTAGGGTTCAAATCAGCAATGGTACGACTGTCGGGCCTCATTGTCACGAATCTGGTATCCAAACGTTAACTTTGATCATCAGAACGGAACAGTACGTTTTCGACACCTGGGAGAAGCAGAACTTGACCGGTGACCGTAATTACTTATATTAGAAGTGATTCTTCGTAGTTTGGGCTAAGTTTGAGCGAGGTGGTTGATTATGAAACAGCCATTAGTTCTCAGTAGGATCGTTCAACCTCTTTCTTTTATTCTCTCGTTTGATGATAACTTATATTGCCACTCACTTTGTATTTTGTGCACTATCACTCAAAGACCTTGCAAGTACGAGAGGGATGATCATCAACCAAACTATCTTATTTTGAGCACAAGCGTGATATCGAGATAGAACGTCCGGGTACTTGCTGAAACGATGAGTCCAGGGGATCATGTTCGAAACATACAAATGAAATTAGTTTTTACACAACTCCTTCGCCTCCTGTTCTCCCAGCAGGTGCATCCAGCGAATTGAAAGGGGGATGTGCGTCCATGTCGCTTGATTCAACGAAGATTTCCCCTTCATTGGCTCCTGTCCTCCATTGAACACGACTGAGTTCTGCATAGTTGAGCAACCATGCCGGATCGACATGATAAGTTGCAGCCAATGACCTGACGCTTAGCATTGCACGACAGACGGAAACAGCTATAGTTGCTACTGCTATTCTTAGAAATAGATGTATCTATGAGCTTTCATGAATACCATGTCATTTAGTAAAACTTACCCTCCCATAAAAGCTGGATAATATACCTGACAACAATTTTGAGTGGTAATGTGAACTAAGGTCATAAAACTTACAGATATTTCCTTCGGTTCAGTCATAGAAAGACCGATAACTTCGTACAGTAGTGATCCTGTAATTGAGTTTTAGATTCTGTTGGAGAAGAATCGAAACGTATTCACCTGCCGCAAATGTATATATAATTATCCCTCTAACAAAAGGTTAGCTTTCGTAGTAGGAACTGTAGCCGATGACTGGACCTACTCTTTCACGAATCGGTGTATGATGCCATGTTGCTGCAACACTTTTGGGCTGACGCGAAAGCGGTACATCGTCAGTAAGAGCATGACCGTATGGACAACCAGGGATGGCAGGTACATGGCAAACACAAATGGAGGCTGCTGCGTCAGGATCTCATCAACTGGCGGTGCATACAGGGCACTCTTGATGGCATTAAACTCAACGCCACCCATTATTATAGTTCCTGCCGCGCAAATGACGAAAACAGTGACCGCCAGCCATCTAATGAGGCAACTCCGGAAGAATAGATGCCACACTCGTAATGTCACGACACCTGTGCACACTAGTCAATTCATTTGGATCGACGGATGCGCCAAAGACAAACATTGACAGAGTATCAAGACCATGAATGAAAGGACGTAGCCCGTAATGAAGAACAGGTTTGTTCTGACTCAAAATGAGCTGATCTGTAAGGCGTTCATGATGTATGATAATAGCTCACCCCTGGAAAGCTATAAGTAAGATCCCAAACAATGATACGCGTAACTTGAGAAGTACCCACCGCAGAACTGAGAGTGTTGACCGGTCCTGCCATTCCTATGTGTCTATCATTTACCAGAACCATGACAAGTAGTGTGTACTATAACGAACCGTACAGAGAAAGGCTAAGCAATGTTGTTAGCTGATGGGTTTTTGATTGCATGTAGTCAAAACGCACCAAGCTTGTATCAGAGCCAAGTATCGGATCTGTCGAATCTAAGATTACTGATTGAAGGTAAGAAATCATCGATGACATTACACTGAAATATAGTGTTCTTGACGCTGACCATGAACCAGACCAGAAGAAAGTTGTCTAAAAAAACGACGGCGGTGGATCAGTGTTAGGCTATATCGTCATCGATTGTGGAAGCGAATATACCTCTTGATCCAACGTGATAACATGGTCGTACGCTATGAGGGCAAAAGATGTCAGAACCAATCTCGTGGAGGCAAAGTACGCCGTCTGTGCTTGTGTGGACATGGCAAATCACGAATGGAACTGCAGGTACCCGGAACTCAAAGCACTTTCTGGTTAGTCGCATCGAGGAACACGGTGGACTATGTTATATGCCATAAATTTACTCACGCTGTAGCATGATGAACAGGAGGCGAAGCCCATCATGGACTGGAACGGCCTGTGTCTCCATTTGATATCATCGTCTATTTGAAGTATTCAGGCTGTGCTGGGAAGCGTCCGGTCGTCACTATGTAGATGATTATCAACTAAAACAAAGCACATGAAAAAGATTCCCTGAATCATTGATGGTAGCGACTTTCTGTCAGAAAATGGGTACCCACGGAGTTGGACTTTCGCTTTGCCATTAAAAGGTATCGGAGCTCTTCCATGACCTAGTCAGTATAATATTTTTGTTAGTGCTATGCACGCCGACGCGACAAGCGCAGTTGAATCATTAAGATTATTCCAGACTACCGGGTGAGTGGTGTAAAATCAATTTTATTCATCGCACTTTGTATGAGCTAGTAAACACAAACAAATACGTGGACACAGGTGCTAGCGTAAGTAGTAATTTGAGCTTAGTAACATAGCACGAGCTTCCATCCTTGCTGGGACAAATTAGTTCTATTTCAATAAAAATGTATTATTTCAGGGGATCATGTTCAAAACATACACATTAAATCATTTTTACACAACTCCTTCGCCTCATGTTCTCCCGACAGACATTCCCAGCAATTTGAAAGGGAGAACCGCGTCCATGTCACTTGCTTCGACAAAAATTTCACCTTCATTGGCTCCTGTCCTCCATTGAACACGACTCAGTTCTGCATAGTTGAGCAACCATGCCGGATCGACATGATAAGTTGCAGCCAATGACCTGACGCTAAGCATTGCACGACAGACGGAGACGGCTGTAGTTGCTACTGCTATTCTGGGAAATAGATGTGTCTATGAGCTTTCATGAATACAATGACGTTCAGTAAAACTTACCCTTCTCTCAAAGCTGGATAGTATACCTGGCAACAATTGTAAATGGTAATGTAATCAACTAAGGTCATAAAACTTACAGTTATTTCCTTCGGTTCAGTCATAGAAAGACCGATAATTTCATATAGCAGTGATCCTGTGATTTAGTTTCAGATTATGCTGGAGAAGAATGAAGGTGTATTCACCGGCCGCAAACGTATACATCAATATCCCTCTAAGAAAATGTCAGCTTTCGTAGTATAAACTGCAATCGTTAACCGGGCCTACTCTTTTACGAATCGGTGTATAATGCCACGTTGCTGCAACACTTTTGGGCTGACGCGAAAGCGATACATCGTCAGTAAGAGCATGGCCGTATGGACGACCAGGGATGGCAGGTACATGGCAAACACAAATGGAGGGCTCTGCGTCGGGATCTCAGCGGTCAACATTACATTCAGGGCACTCTTGATGGTATCAAACTCGACGCTGCCAACTATTACAGTTCCTGCCGCGCAAATGACGAAAACAGTGACCGCCAGCCATCTAATGAGGCAACTCCGGAAGAATAGATGCCACACTCGCAATGTCACGACACCTGTGCACACAAGTCAATTCATTTGGATCGACGGATGCGCCAAAGACAAACATTGACAGAGTATCAAGACCAGGAATGAAATAACGTAGCCCGCAATGAATAACAGGTTTTTTCTGTTTCAAAATGAGCTGGTCTGTAAGGCATTCATGATGTATAATAGCTCACTCCTGGAAGACTATAAGTAAGACGCCAAACAATGATACACGCAACTTGAGAAGTACCCACCGCAGGACTGAAAGTCTCGACCGGTCCTGCTATTCCTATATGTCCATTATTCACCAGAACCGTGACAAGGATAATTTACTATAACGAACCATACAGAGTAAGGCTAAGCAACGTTGTTAGCTAATGCGCTTTTGATTGGATGCAGTCAAAACATACCAAGCTTGTATCAGAGCCAAGTATCGTATCTGTTGAATATTTTACTAATTGAAGGTAAAAAATCATTGATGACATTACGCTGAGATATAGTGCTCTTGACGCTGACCATGAGCCAGACCAGAAGAAAGTTATCTAAAAAAATGATGGCGGTGTATCAGTGTTGTATCGTCATCGATTGTGGAAGCAAATATACCTCTTGATCCAACGTGATAGCATGGTCGTACACTATAAGAGTGAAAGATGTCAGAGCCAATCCCGTAGAGGCAGAGTACGCCGACACTGTTTGTGGGGACATGGCAAATCACGGATGGACCTGTTAGTACCGAGAACACAGAGCACTCTCTGGTTAGTCACATCGAGGAAGGTGGACTATGTTATATACCATATATTTGCTCAGGCTGTGACGCGAAATGAACAGGAGGCGAAGCCCATCATGAACGCACATGGCCTGCATCTCTCACATTTGATATTATGGTTTATTCAGGCTATGCTGAGAAGCGCCCGGTTGCCACTATGTGGATGTTACGTTCATCAACTGAAACAAAGCACTCGAAAAAGATTCCCTGAATCATTGATGGTAGTGACTGTCTGTTAGAAAAAGGGTACCCACTGATTTGGATTCTCGCCTTGCCATTAAAAGGTATCAATCTCTTCCATGACCCAGTCAGTAAAATTTGAGACATGTAATCGGTGGTAAGTAGTAGTAGTCCAGGAGGGTTTGAGTCGTCGTCATTCGCAGGAGTTCCCACGGCATTATTATTACTAGGGCGCATCATGTTACTGTACGATGTGACTTGGGATACTACTGATACTGGTAGTAGCTAACCTCTGGAACCTGTCAGATTGGCCAAACTTGTACTGGTTACACTTCTTGCTCGTCATCTTTTTTGATGGCTCCTTCGTTCCTCGGACGACCAGGCTGTACGATTGTGGAGCACACCGCCGGAGTTAACTCCGAGATCACCATTTCTCCCAACGGAAAACTGCTCGTGAGTGGTGACTATGATGGGACGGTTCGGCTCTGTTCCATCGCGAATACTACTTTCACAGTATCTAGGCTGGATTCCTCATATAGCTTTGCATACCACAGTGAGGTAAACTTTGAGCAAAATCTGTTCCCGGAGGCCATTTCCAATGCCGAGAAGGTGCGGACGATACTCATTATTGTTTTTACAATTAAATGATATTCGTAGGTCATTGAGCTCAACCCTTTGTTCATGGATATGAATTAAAGCATGCAGCACCTCACGGAGCACGACGCTATGATGAAGCAACCGAGGCCTTCAAAATCATGCTCTCTAGGTTGGATGATAGTCCTGACACACAAACACGACATGGACCCAAAATAACACACGTGCCTGACTGAAGACGACTAATTTTGCAGAGTTGTAAAATTGCAGAAGTTATGCAAAGTCGCTCGTGGTGCAGTGCATTGCCGGGCATGGAGCGACACATACAGCATCGACCAGGGCAACAATGTTGAGCTCCGACAATCGGTCAACTCCACGTCCGTCTGGTACCGCTAATCAGCACTCATCATTGTCTGCCTATCGGACGTCCCGACTTCCTTCCCAGTCTGGCACGCTCGTAAACAGTGTTTAGAACTCCCGAGGATGGACTATTCAGGAATTCCTCGCTCCTAAAATTGTTTTCTTCTAGCAGGAAAATTGGAGAACCACAAGGAGTCTGTCAGCGTCATACAGGAGTTAGAAGATGCAACAACGCCGACTTCCGTTCGATGACGAGAGGTGTCTGAGAGATACTCCAATCGGCGTTAATCAATGAGAGGAAGATACTCCTTGTTTGGCATCTTCGATTCAACCTTCCTGCAACGAAGAGAAAAGACGACGCGTTCGGACGTCTCTTGCAGGAGATTATAGCTTATTCTTGACTGGGTAGGACAATCATCCAACTCAATAGTTGTCTGCTAGCCGACATTTCACGCATAGCTCTGTCATGTATATTGCCATATTTATCTGAAGATGAAATGTAGGCATCGATTTGATCTCTACGCTGCGACGTGCTGTGGCACTTCACGGACGAGACATACTAGTAGCATAGATGATTGGCCTGAGCCTGTCTCTAACAGACCATCCAGTCGGCTGGAGACAACGGGTCAGTTACTCATGAGTTGAAGGTGCTCGTTCGCCTCCGACAGACTTTTGCTAGCACAGCAGTGCGTCGAGGAGTATAAGAGAATTGCTTCGGACAACACAAGCCAAATACATAGTTTCTGTTGACGTCATGACTGATCAGGACGCTGGAGATATTGTAGCTGCAAAGAATGGGAATTTCGAGACGCATTTTCATTCATACTTGACAGCACCTGCATGGACAACTACAACTTTGTTTCGTATAGAACTGTATTATACACTATCCCATACAGCACTACTGCCCACCTACTCAGTAGATGAGACTTCGCAAGGCAAAATTGATGTGCCCATTAGTTGAGTTACATATGGAGCAAAGTCGTGGTTGTTAAGACATCTAGAATTGTCTTTAAACCTTTCCTGGATACTCCATTTCCACAGAAGTTGACGGTAGCGATCTGCAGGGAAGAACCACATCCATCTCGTTGACTTCAACGACAATTTCTCCTTCACTGGTCCCTCTCCTCCAGTGGACGCGACTGAGTTCAGCATGATTGAGTAACCATGCTGGATCGACGTGGCAAGTTGCAGCCAATGACCGGATGCTTAGCATCGCGCGACAGACGGAGATGACTGTGGCTGCTACTGCTATCCTGGGAAGTAGGGGTTGCTCGTGAGCTTCGGTAAACAACGGAGGATGAAGTGGCCTTACTCTCCCCCTAGAGCTGAATAGTAAACCTGGCAACGATTTCAGATTTGAACCAGCCACCCAACTATGGTCATGTAACTTACAGACATGTCCCTTGGTCGAGTCAGAGAAAGAGCGACAATTTCGTACAGTAGCGTTCCTGTAATTTGTCTCAGCGTGTGCAAAACGAGAAGAATCGAGATATATTCACCGGCTGCGAATACATACATAAACATTCCTCTTGAGCAAACGTTAGCTTTCGAACTAGAGCCCGTGACCGACCGACAAGGGTGACCTACTCTTTTAAGAATCGGTGGACAATCCCGCGTCTCGGCAAGGCTGTTGGGGTAATGCCGAAACGATATATCGTCAATGATATCATGGTCGTATGGACAACCAAGGCTGGCAGGTATATCACAAATAATGTTGCAGGGTTCTCCTCTAAGTTCAACGGGTTGTATAGTCCGTACACGGCCGCCTGAATATGCTTAAACGCAGCGACGCCAGCGATTACAACTCCTGTCGCAGAAGCGATCAGAACAGTAACCGCCAGCCCTCTAATGAAGCGACTTCGGTGAAATAGATGCCATATCCGCAATGTTACTACACCTGCGCACATTGGTTAATTCGGTGTGATCAACAAATGGACCAAGACGAACATTGGCAGAGTTCCATGATTAGGAATGCAAGGACGAAATTTGTAATAAAAAGCCATTGTACACTATTTCCTGGGTGAACTGGTTTGTTAGGTCCTTGTCACGCATGACTCACTCCTGTGGAAAGCTGTACGTAAGGCGCCGAACGACGATACGACTGAAGAAGTGCTCACGGTAGGATTGGGAGTCACGATGCATCCTATTCGTCTGAATCGTCAGAGCCATGTCACGTATATTCTCACCGACGGACCATAGAATATGAGACTAATCAATGGTCATCAACAATGCAGTGTTATGAGATGGCATCAAACACGCACGACATTTGTGTTAAAGCCAAGTATCGGATCTATTAAATCCACGATTAAGCACCGGCAGCAAAATACAACTCATCGACGGCATTACACTAAGGTATAGTATTCTTGAAGTTGTCCATGGCCCAGACCAGAAGAAGGTCACCTAGAACAGTGAGTTGAGAGTGGTTGGTCGTAGATCAGCGTGAGGTCACTATTGATGATGGAGGTAACGATACCTCTTGAGAAAACGTGATAATATGATCGTACACAACTAGGGTGAATGATGCCACGGCTAAATGCGCGGAGGCAGCGCTCGCAGACTTCTGCATTCGCCAGTCTGTGGACATGGCGAGTTACAGATGGGTCCTGGAATGTCTGCAGAAAGTACCGGGGAATCGCATTGAGGAGTTAATGGGGACCAACTCTATATAGCAGATGTCCATGCAGAGGCGAAGCTGGTGACCCTTGTGGTCACCTAATACACGTTGAAGTGCTCGAAAAGGATAAAGATTATATATAGCGTGCAATCATTTTCATCAACGTACACGGCATTTTCAAAAAGTTCATGTGTCCAAATATGTCCAGATACCTTGTCGTGATGCACCTAGAACACAACATCAACAGCACACCCTCAGATTCGCATGTCACCATGGACGCTTGTTCTTACTCTCTCCCGCAACAACTTCTATACGTGTGTAATGCTCAAATCACCGGATTCAAATAAATCCAGTAAACCCTATTTTTATTAAAATCATCGATGCAGTGTATACTAAAAAGAGTATGGCTGAAACAGCATGTTGATCGCTAACCCTGAGTCTGTCACATCAGTGGCCAAGACATAGCGATCAATCTCGATGAGTCTCACTTGTGGGAGTGTCCAGACCATTGAAGTTGCAGCCATTCGAAGAAGCCAGGGTGTGAGAAGGATTCGGAGTCATGGGGAGTTCTGTGTCGCTAGAACCGCCTAGCTCGAAATCTCGTCTTCACTGTTTCCCGTGGTCTTCTGGACACGATTGAGTTCTGCGTGATTGAGGAGCCACGCTGTGAAGCGCCGCAGATGTAGATCGAATGTTGAGGAGTAACGCATGGCAGACAAAGACAATGGTTGCACCGACGACGACGCTGAGCGAATGATTGGTTTCATGATTTCATTCATAAGTGAGCTATGAAAACAACCTACCCGCCTTATAAACCCATGCAGTAAACCTAGAGAATCATAAGTTGCTGAGCAGAACAAGAAACAGATTTACAATTTTCATATCAGCCACAAAAGGTTGGTCAATGAAAGAATGATGATTGTGCGCAGTAGCGATCCTGAGTGATAGCATGACAAGTATGAAAGTCGGTATCGAACTTGAATGCTTCCCGTTGCGCATGGATACCCGATCAATCACCTGAGATTGCATATAGTGAGTGTTTTATGCGAGTAGCTGTACGATCAATGGCGTGCTCTGAAAAAACCTTTTGGAAGCAAATTTGAGCGTCTTTGAAATTGGTCGCTCATCACACACCTAGCGCGCTGTGGTCTATAAAGCCGGACGTGTACACGAGGGCAAAAATCGTCAGGCTCTTGGTAAAACTTGGGTGCACTATTCCCTTGAAAGGGATCGAAGAGAGAGCCACATATAAACCCATAGTCAACCCTTCGTATGTGTGTAATAGCGACACCCTGTTCCTCGCGAAAAGGCACCAAACACAGAGAGCGATGACAGCTTGGAATGTCCTTAATAGATGCATCAACAAATTTCAAGCTGCGTACCTTGACACAGCGCCACATCCAGAATTATCAACGCCACATTCACAACAAACAATGCCTCGAGGCTTGGTGTGGCGCAAGCCTTGCACGAGGACGAGAGCTGGTGACACTGAGGTTCACACCTATGAGTGATCTGAGCAACTTCGCACACCAAAAACATCTCATCAATGATCTCTTACGGTAGATTCGGAGACATGAAAGTGCACGACATGGATTAGAGATCACCTTTGTCATAAGAAACTTCCTTACGGTACACTGAAAGACGATGAGGAGCGATCATAGTAGTTAGACGCTTGGTGCTCACAATGCTCGAATCAGTCCTAAAATATCGTGTATGCAGATGAACAATCAAGGAGATATTGTACCGTGGTCTGTAGAGTGCATCAATGCAGTCTCACCAATAATGGAGTCGGCCAACACTGGGGTTGGCATAGCTGAATAAGTGAGGGAGGGTTGTAGGATTCTCCTTATGAGTTTTGAAGGATTATATATGAGCACAATATGTCCTGAGGCAGTGCCTATCATAGTCATGGCATCTCTCGTGCTGGAGTCACTGCTAGAAGCTCAAAGTAGAAAATCACGCGCATCGCAACAAAAGTCACCATTGCAGCGGCGAACCTCTCAACCCATCATGCATCATGTTCTGGACTTCGACCATGTGGAAATAAATCCAAAAATGAAGCACCCGTCCGATGAATTTTGTGGTTCCGCTCTGATCTGAAAAGCTCTGAACAAGCCAAAAGGAACTTCCACGCTTGTCACAGATTGTCACTGCAGATTATCGGTGTGTATGATCGTGTGGAGTACAGTGGTAGTACTTGCCATAGCATAAGTGGTTGAACTTGCAATGTTGCTCCAAGAAAAAAGCGTCCAAAGAGCTCGACTTGGACACGATGGGACACGATTGAAATGTTGACACATGTAGCGGGCGTTGTAGCAGCCCATTTGCGGAAATTTACCTAGGTCCCTGGGAGGTAAACTCAAGATAATATGGCGCACATTACTCACCAATTTTTTTTTCAACTGAAGCTTGATTGAAACGGGTATTGTACCAATCGTGTTTGAAATTCATCAAAGACGTAAGCTCCACACTCCTGCAGGGTAAGCGAATTAAATTCAGCTGCCCAAGGGGGAACAAACTGTCAGGCGTTGTCAGGCCAAACGGTCTAAAAACGCGGCCACTTTTGACAGGAGTGATGTGGCTGAAACATAACTCCTTTGGACGCACTTTGACTAAGCGAGAATGGAGTGGAACGAGATCTGAAATTGATCAGAAGTACTGGCAAAGTACAGTCTCCATGAATGACAATTTTTGCATGGCATGAATGCATAAGGGCATGCGAGGACAATCGACGTAGATGTAGGTAACCATAACTTCAACACATTCAAGGAGCGAACAACGTGTTGAGGAAGGCCTCTCCAGCAGAGGAGCCCTTGGCCTTCTTTCCTTTCTTGTCTTTTTGTGCCTTGACACGCTCCTGCTTGACTATAACACATCAACGTAATACATGAGTGATCAATTTGATTAAATGAAAGGTAGATAAGATACGTACGCAACTCTTGTCTGCGGAGGGTCTTGGCGTAAGGGTTCATGCGGAAGAGAACGCCCTTGTTGACGAGAGGGTTCTTCTTCTGCGTCCATGGGCGTTTCTGGACCCTTGGGCCCGCAGGGCGAACAACAGATTGAATCTCAGTGCTGTTGATGAGACGAGTAACGTCGGGGTTAGAGATCTTAGCGGTAGGAAGGCTATACGCGGCAAATCAGTCGAGCAATAAGGCACTGCATACGAGACATACAGGTAGTCCTTCTTGTACGAGGAGGCTTTGTCGAAGGTGCCGAATACCTCATCAAGGAGGCTGAAGGCGCCCTCTGTCCAGATGACGAAGCGGCCAATGTGTCCACCAGGAGCGAGTTGGAGAAGGTTCAACCTTTGGACGTTGACGAGTTCGACACCAGGCAAGTTACGGAAAGCCTGGACGATGCCGTTGTCGTCCTTGAAAACGACAAGAGGGCCACGACGTTGACGGTAGCGGCGGTTGCGCATCTTGCCCTTTCCTGCACGGAGTTTGCGCGAGTTAGAGACCTTGGTGACATCCGTGTATGCATTCAGGGCCTTGAGGAGAGTTATAGCCTCCTTGGTTTTCTTGAAGGACTCAGCTGCGTTATCAACGACAAGAGGAACCTCGGCAATTTGCTCGATACGGTGACCGCGGGCGAGAACAAGGGAGGGGAGCGCGGAAGCTGCGAGTGCAGAGACGGTAGCAAAGCGGCGCTGGTTTTGGTTGACCTTGACGTGCCATTTGCGCCAAGTCTTGGTGGGGGCGAACATGCGACCGCCACGGCACATGTTTCCAAAGGCAGCCTAAGGATATATTGTCAACGATGCAAGATCAGAGATTGGATGACTATCCACGCACCTGGCCAGAACGGTGGGTACCACCACCACCGACACGAGGAATACGTGCAACAGCGCGACCAGTGCCCCAGGACTCAGCGGAAGTCTGGTGGCCGGCCTTCTCGCTGACAGCATAAGCCTGACGCCTGTTCTTGGCCATGCTCTCTGAGATGATGTCACATTTCCGATAAAGTGCCAAACACTTGTTACGCACTGTGAACCTGGGCGACTACATCAAGCCTGATGGGAGCTGTGAGAACGGCAGGAAGGGGAAGGGAGGTTGAGGCCTCTACATGAGATAGACTTAGTGTGGACGGAAAGCAAGCCGAGAAATGAGTACAAACCTCCGGAGACGGATTGGACGGTAACGGTGGGTCTTGAGGCCATTGTCGTTGATCTTGACGGTCTTGACGGTCTTGAGGTATTCTAGCCTGCCTAACGTGTTGATACAGTAAATAGAGTTTGCTAGTTACAAGCCTCAGAGCAAATACGACCAAACAATCTCTTCAAGCAGATTTCTCCACTTTGACAATTAGACAGGAATCCACTTTTAATATTCTACAGACTTAATCCGTCTACACCAACTTAAATTTGTTCGACTCTCCGGCCATTAAGCTTATCTCCACGAATTTTTGGCTCAAGCACCCGTGTTATGACTCGATCAAACGACACATCTGCGTCTTTTGGTACAGATATATCATAGTGGTAAAAGAATGGTTGATTGATTCACGGGAACATTGGAAAAGGAATCCGAGTCAATCACTGGCATTGAGTCTGCAGACACGACATCCAAAATGACTTCTTGTACGGCATTTGCAAGGGACTGCGATCAGGCATCCTCACTTTCATGGAGAGGCCCAGCAGGGTAACCTATCGGTGCGGGTTGCCTGCGTCGTATGAAAGTAGTCTCCTCTAGGCAGAACGTTACAGAAGGAAGACAGTTGTTTCTTCTCACCTGAGGGTATCTCTACTGCACACCTTATCACCTCTAGAAGAATGAACTCGTCTGACGAATGGAATTGCAGTTAAGGTTTGAGGTTTGTAACGTGTGGCAGACTAGCACTGACGAGCCTCTGAATCAGCAAAAACACACAGGGAAAGAGATGTACAGTCTCATCTGCAAGCGGTTCACACTGCACAGTCATCTATTTCAAAGATTTCGAGCATCCAAATTTAACATTATCTAGCTCCAGGCTACTCGTACGTCCGATGGTGTCTAATTGTTAAGCATAGCATTTACCAAGAGTCTAAACCAAGATGGGCGTGCGACCACTCATACCAACTTTCGATCTTATCTCCGTGCATAGGTTGCCGAATTTAAGGTCGAGGCGTGGCGCCCGGGACAGACTGACAGTACTAGCACAGTTCATACTCTGCCTTATGAGTCATACATGCCCACGGTATACACGCCTGTCACGGTTCAGAAGTGGATATACGAGCTACAGGTTTGTTCTGCCATAAGCCCGTCCATGGTAAGTCGTACATTGAACAGATTTCGATCTCTTACTTTTACTGCTCCTCAGCCACGGGGAGTCTCCTACTTTTAAATCTTTTACTGCGGTTATTCATGCCCCTTGCATCACCCTTGGTCGACTACAGGTTTACTACTTGAATACCCAACAGTCCGGCGATTATACTACAACCGTCTTGTCTCACACACTCTATCATCATGATCGTCTTTGCAAGCATGTCAACTGAGTCGAACCCCCTCCGGGCCCGGGGCCCCTATGAATGCTTATGTGCCTGAGAGTTTGGATAAATATTTTGGCGAATTTACTCAACAATCTTAATAACATGATGTGCGTAATGACATACAACTGGAGTGTGGATAACAAATCATTTAGACACAGACAAAGACTGTCAAGGCGTTTTTAGTGATGGATCTTCACGGCAGCCGACCGGAAGGAAATCTTGGCCAGTAACTGCGAATGGATGAATCGTTTTACCCTCTGATTCGAAGGACCTGTGCTGACATCTTCAAGTAAGAAAGCACTCCTACTTCTAATTCAGGAGACAGGACCGAGGGAAGAAAAACGATGGCCAGCGACGAAGACGGGTTTGAAATTCCTGATGATTGAATCGATGTCACGAAATAAGGTACATCCTCATTCTCCTTAGCAGCCTATATCAACAGTCCACCCACATCAATTATTACTCACTTCCACCCCCCTCCATCATCTCCACTCTACCATCTCCACTCTATCATCCCCAAGTCTTACTTGAGTGACACGATGAACGGACAGCAATCTAAAACAGTTAGTAGTGACGTGGGCCCTGCCAAAACGAAACTATGTACTGACCTTCTGGATGTCTCAGGCTGGATCGACCTATCAGCCGGACCATCTATACAAAGGAAGGCGAGCTTCACTGCCCCTTAACATCGTAGTCATAGGATGCGGTCTGGGAGGTCTCGCCGCTGCATACTGCCTCGCACAGGCAGGCCACAATATCACCATCCTCGAAGCAGCGTCAGCCATCGGTGAAGTGGGTGCTGGCGTTCAAGCCAGTCCCAACGTCTCGCGTCTCTTGACGCGTTGGGGTCTTGGCCCACGTCTTGAAGAACTTGGCGTCAAAATTCAGGCTTTAAGCTTTAAACGATGTGAGTTACATCAAATTGTTGTCTCGGCGCTCTTGTTTAATGACAATTTCCAGGGGACAACGATGAGGTCGTGGGGTGGACGCCGCTTGGGGATGTGATCGATAAGGAATATGGTTCCCCTTTCTACCTCTTACACGTCAGTCATATCCTTATTACACCTATTCTTTCTGACGAGGAAACAGCGGGCTGATTTCCATCGTATGCTCTACGAAGTCGCCGAGCCATACTGTAACATTCGCGTTAATAGTCGCGTTGTATCCGTGGACCCATCGAAACCTAGTGTGACTCTTGCTTCCGGGGAGGTCGTATCTGCTGACCTAATCATTGGCGCTGACGGAGTCAAAAGTGTTACTCGGGAGTATATTGTCGGTGGGCCTGATAAACCCAAACCTACTGGAGATGCTGCTTACAGAACCCTCATCCCGGTGGAGAAACTCCTAGAGGACGAAGAGCTGAGACCATTGGTGGAGAAAATGGAATCAAATATATGGATGGGCCCAGGAGGTCACATCGTCGGCTATACTATTGTAAGCCGACTGTTCGGTTAACATGGTTAACATCCCCGGGAACTAATGCGAGAGCCGGACAGCGTGCCAAGAAAGAATTTAACCTCGTCATGATGCATCCTGATGAAGATGAAGGGGGCATTGAATCATGGACTGCTGAAGGTAACGTGGACAAAATGAAGGAGACCTACAAGGGATGGAGTACCACGTTAGTGACTCCGTTTTAATCCCCACCTTGTTCATGCTAACTGGTGGCGTGGGCGGGACGCAGTATTCAAAAGCTTATGGCGCTTGTTCCGTCAACACTCGATTGGAAACTGATCGCCCGAGACCCATTGTCCTCGTGGATTCACAAGGATGGCAAGTTGGCCTTACTGGGAGATTCATGCCACCCAATGCTGGTTTGTGTAAATTCTCGATCAAAATAGCACATACTGAGTGTCATATCCCATTAGCCGTACCGCGCACAAGGGTCAGCCATGGCGGTAAGGAGGAGTGAAAATAGTCAAACGAGTACTGACACCAGAGTTTTCTAGATCGAAGATGCTGCTATCTTAGGCAACATATTTTCGCATTGTTCGCACCGCTCGCAGATCTTGCCTCTCCTACATGCCTACCAATCTCTCCGGTACGACCGTGCTACCGCGACACAGAACTCCTCAAAGCTAAACCGGCACATATTCCACCAACCCGACGGGCCGGAGCAGGAGAAACGTGATCGCGACATGCGTGCTGCCATGGAGGACGCGCTACGCGTTGCTCGTGGTGAGAAGAGCACACGTGTACTGACAGGCAATGCGAATCAGTGGGCTGATAAGACCAAGAGCGATATCCAATTTGGATACGATGCGGATGAGGAGGCAGAAAAGTGGTGGCTCCAGAATGGGACCAAGCTCGTGAATCTCATTCCTTCAATTGAACTCAAACAGAGAGTTGTACATGCTGCAAATCATGATCACTAAACTTCATAGTTATTTGTATTCTAGACTATTGGCTGCCGTTTAGCTCAGCAGTCCTATCCTACATTAGCACTGTACTTGTAACATTTTGAATTTTCACAATATTCTGAACATCCTGTAAGCACGCTGGCTTACCTGAGTTCTCATAATCAGTACATATACCGTCGCTGATACTGAAAGCTAAGCTTTCAGTATTTCACCTTTTGGTGTAACGGTTATGCGAGGCGGCGGTCTGACCATGTTACACATCCCTCAAATATGATAGCCGCTGTGGTGATTTCACCGGCCGTTGAGCTTTCCTGTCGTAGGACAGGGAGTATGGCAAGGAGGCGCGTGGCTCTGGGACACGTTTCCCACCTGAGCTCCTGCAAAAAAAACTCGTGTCTTAGAGTGAGGTGAAGTGAGGATTCTTACCTGAGACACGCAGGTTTCGCAGCGCGGGATGCAAGAAGTACGGTTTGATAGTCCATTGTGCCGTCAATATTACCTCTGCAATTCAAAAACTCGAATTTTGCGACTAAAAGAATTGTCCCTTACGCGGAACACCACACCACACGTCCTTCCAACGTACTCAAAATTTTCTGCCACGAACACATCGCAGAAAATATACGCATCTCTGCTTCAAAAATTCAATATAGTTTATCAGTCACATGACCTGGAAAATTTTGGCCCATCAGTATTTTAGAGTTTCTCAGGAACATCGTGGGATTTTTGATAATTTGTAAGCGCTTTTTGACCCTTTGGGTAACTGCGTTCGTGGGCAACGTGAGGACCACACCTTGACCACTAAATATTGCGCTATTGTCCTCCTTCAGCTCTCTCGTGTGTCATAATGAGCTTCCAGGACATTGAAACTGGTCTTGCACGTACGGGACAGTCCAGTTCGACAGCACTCCAGCCGCGTGAAGAGTCTGCGTTTCTCTCCTTGCAATCGTCACTTTCACTCCAGGTGTTCAAGATAAATTCGAATGTACAGGGTATTCTCAAGCTGGTCGACCAACTTGGCACTACAAAGGACTCTGCCACGCTTAGGAAGTCATTGTACGTATCACTCGCTAGGTATTACCTCAGTTACTAAATGCACTATGGGCGCAGACATGACCTCACCGAAACCACGAGGGCTATGGCTAAGCGAGGCTCTGAGGACTTGAAGAAGATTGCCTCAACCGCTACGGCAAGCGTAAATTGATACTCTACACTAATGTTTTTGTCAACTGAATCGGATGTACCAGCCTCAACACAAGACCTCAGTTCAGAAAATATCACATGACTTGCAACTGTCTTTGGTAGCTTTTCAAAGAGCACAACAAGTTAGCGCAGAGCGCCAGAGAACAGTGGTAGAAGGGGTGAAAATAGCAGTAGAAGATGATCACTATGATGATGCGTGCGTTACTTTCCCCGCGAAGATGCAATAGCCTCATGTTTCCACAGGCTGCGCCAACGAGAGCCAAGCGCGTCTCCTCGACTACGTCAGGCTCAACTTCTTCAGTCACAGCTTTCTCCGCACGAACTTGCGTACCAAGAGTCTCTGATTCAAGAACGAGAAGCGGAAATTCAAGAGATTGAGTCCGGTATACATGAACTATCGGAGATCTTCCGTGACCTTGGGACACTCGTCAACCAACAGGGCGGCATGCTTGGTATGTGTATGGCTTTCGTTATGATCACTGGCTCACTGGCACCTTCTGTTCTTTTCCCTTTTTCGCAGACAACATCGAATCAAACGTGTATTCCATCGCTGTAGATACCCAGGGGGCAGCCGAGGAGCTTTCGACTGCTTCCGAGTACCAACGCAAAGCTGGACGACGTGCAGCGTGTCTCATGATTATTCTCGTCATCGTCGTTGCAGTTGTGCTTTTGGCTGTACGTAGTATGACCACCACTGCAAGTAGACTTGACTAATCAACCTCTAGATTTTATCATAGATGTGTGGCCTTGTGCCATCGCCTCTCATACCTTTGCAAGTTTTCTATTAGCTGATGGATTATGGACCTCGTTGTGGATATGTTTTACCAAGTGTTTTTATTTCTAACGTCTATTCCTTATATCAATGCACTTTGATGCGAGTCCATGATACCCTCCCCAGTGAATGTGTGTGGTAAGTTAGCTTAGATTGTCTACGGCTATATTCTTTCTCGATGCGTGATATGTGCGTGATACGTAGTCTCGCATACGTATGAAATCAGAGTTTGTATCTTACATAAAACGATTAATATTGGACGTCTGGACGCCCACTGGCAGCGTTTATTGTTCTCTCCCACTGTAGCGCTTTACGACCCGCACACGTGTTAGACTATGACTTCTATCTCGGCTGTCTTTCGCTCCTGCTAATACCCCACATCAGACAGGAGGAATACGTCAGAACCGACGCGTAAATTAGCAAGCGGCCCGAAGACACATCCATTTCTGTTCCGCCTCGACTCGGAGCCATTCGATTCCCACAAGCTGAGCGCGCTTTACTCAAGGCTCCAGCCTGTTCGTACATAGCACCTTACAGCACGAAGCTCAAATAACTCCTGTCCGAGAAACTTCTAGAGGGCCTCGAATACACATCTTCAATGAACATCGAGGGCGCCAAACTGCTATGGATTCACGGATTACGCGTTAGAAGCTTGCCCATCAGGACACCTGCTCCTGATTATTCTGGAAATATAGAAGATAGAGAATTATGCGGAAATGTATGGTGTGCTTCGTTCTCAAGCTTTTCTCTATTTCCGACTTCATCGTCTAGTATCCCCAAAAAGACCATCATTGTTGCTGAACGTCATGTCCCGGCTAAAGGTTTTCTAATCCCACTGCCTGCCCACCTCCATGCCCTTCGCTTACTTGAGTACTGCCAATCTCGGCAGGCGGATTTTTCAACGGCGGAGCGCTGTAGATGGAGTCTCATCAGTGCATCTTTGCCGACTGCTCAAGCGCAGTCTCCTTCCGCCGGCAAATCGTTTATGCGCGCCTTTTCACGTTCATTTAAATTATAATGTCCCGTGTTGGCATTCGCCCCTAACAGCAAGTTTCTTTTAGTATCAATGCGTTTAACGCACCGCAGTCCACGCGCAAAAGGTGATTTCCATGGCTCATCACATTGCGGTTCAGCGAAATTGAACCTTGGTCTAGAGTTTTACCCGCTCTATCCGAGCGCACCAGAACCCCTCCCTTGTGGCGTTCGAGGCTACCTACTCATTCATCGCTTCATTCAGGGTACCTCACAGACGTGTGATCTCGGTGCCTTTGACACTAGCATCCTTGACGTCTGTGCCGGCCTCACCTGCATTCTATTTCGCCTTGCCAGAAGGTGAAGTGCGACTGATGCGGTCCATGTAACGGCGTCTAGAGATCCATGGTGCCACGTCCATACCACCGGTGTATCGAGATCTTTACACCCTGTCGTTATCTCCTGCGACGTTTTCGAGGACGGTCTTCCTGAAATGCAATGATGGATAATCACCTTGACAGGTCCCGAGTCTCGACTCTCCACCCCAATGGGGTTGAAGTTCCAAATGACTTTTGCAAATTGCAAGTATTGAAGTAATCAGGGCGCCGCAGCTCTTCCCTATCGATTGATACGAACTTTGGATTCCGAAATTATAATACCTAATGCTGCATTGCAGTGGTATTCAAATCATAAGTCTTTGATCTAAGATTTCATTCTCATCTATCGGTAGATATGCCATCAGGGCGTTCTCGACGGATACCTCTGATCAAGCTTTAATCGAGCCTATCGGTCTTTGTCCTGTGCATGCCCTAGCCCGCCCGCCCATGACAGATATTTAACAAGCACGTTGAATCCATTACCAAGCTCAGACAGTCGCTCAACACGTGCATGCACGATTTCATATCAACAGAATATCAGCTTTATACATTATAACCGAGTTAAATAACTCCGGTTATACATCTTTTGACGTTACATAGTAACAATGTTTATGTATTTCCACCATTAGGTATAAAATCATTGTCCATAGAAGATAGGATCTGGATGAAGGGTGCGGACACCACGCAGAGCGAAAAAAAATTATAGTTTGATAGATCGAATATGATGAGCATCAGCCCAGCAGCCTGTCCGTCTCCGCGACTCCATTCTGTCGGTCCTTGCGTGCGAGCCCACGACAGCTCCGCACTGTATGTTTCACCCCGTCCACTGCTCGGCTGAAGAGCCAGTTCCTCGCACGCCAGACCGGATGGTCGCGTACATCGACGCGGTCTGGGCGGAGGCGGTCCTCGTTATCGACGACGATAGCAAGCGTTGTAACCGTGGTGATAATCGTTGCAAGTGCTGTGGAGGCGGAAATCATAAACATGATAACCATCTGGAGCCGCGCTGCCTGCTGAACTGAAGAGCCACCAAGTATGGCACCTGAAACCCTTGATCAGTATGACCATTCGTCGACATCGTGGTGTAAATTCTTACCGGTCATCATGCCTGGAATAGAAATGATTCCGATCACGCTATTGTCAAGGGCAAACACTGAATTAGAAGCAGCTTGGTATTTTGAATGATACGAACCTCATTTGGCTGATCGTTGGAGCCAGTGCAAGACGGAGAGCTTCTCGTGCAACAGGTCTACATGCTTCAAAACGTGATGCTCCAAATGCGAGATACATTTCGACTTTGTCGCGATTGTCGCTGCAAGAACGTTGGTTAATATCTACATTTTAAGTACATTAGTGGCACGACTTACTATATCTCCCGCAGTACATAGGACACGGCAACAACGATTCCCGAGACCGTGCCTCCACATAACATACCAACAATTGGAACTTGTAGTTACAAGTCAATATCACTGATTCCGCACAGAGATCATGACATACTATATTGTTCGGGCTTCCAGAACGGCTCTATGACCATGGCGAAGCGGATGCCGATGATAGAGACAGGTATCGTCGAGCACAGCATACCAAACAGTACGCAAGAGAACTATGGAACTGTTCAGAATAGAACATAGATACAATCATCGTAGAACTCGCCATGTGATTGTAGCGCTTTTTAGACTTGTTTATAACTTCTC